AATGACTCTCTACCTTGCCATCAGAGTAGGCACGTGCCTGGTGTGTAACCAGATTTCAGGAAATTGGGGGTTCAGGAATTAGGGATTTCCCTAGGAATTCTGACCCAGCCCTGTGATGAACTTTTCTGTTTGTTGTGGCACATATGATTTTGAGAGATAGCATCTGTCAGCCTCTGTTCCCCTCCTCCATTTCCTTAAGAGCCACATATCTCAGGACAGTGTACTTTATCTTGACTTGTGTTGCAAGCAGCATGCTGAAACGTGTTATCTCCATATAGTACACCTTTGTGTTTTGGTAGAAGTCCTTAGACTTTCTGGATTCAGGTTACATTGTAGCAAATGATTAAACTGCAGGGTGAAGTGCGATGGATTTTGAGTTGAGTCTCCCCTTTTTACTGTTTTCTTTTTGTTGTCTAAATCAGTTTCTCCTTATAACACCCCTTATTCATGTATTGTCTTTGAATCTAATCCCTTCACATCCTTACTACCACATTTTGGGTGCCAAGGACCTCTGGGTATCCTGGGCCTTCATTTCTCAACCTGGATTCAGCCTCTTAACAGTACTCCGAATTTACCTCATTCTCTCTAGCTTCTGGGCATCTGCAAGTACTGGTCCTGCTGTCCGGAATGCATTCTTCCTTTTTGTCCTTCCAATCTCAGTTTAAATGTTACTTCCTTTGGGATCCCACCCCTCTTTAGTGCCCTTCTTTTGTACTTGCTTCTGTTTTAATACTTAAGCTTTAGTGTAATTGCCTATTTACTTGTCTAATTCTTATAAGACTATAAGTGCCCTTAGAAGAGGGACTGTCTTATTCACTACTGTATTCTCCCATTTAGGATAGTGCAGGGCACATCATAGGTGCTTTATAAAGCTGTGGTGCATACAGAATGAAGTGTGGTGGGCATTCTCTCCCCACTTTAATCTACCTTCCAATCCTCTAGCCTCAGTTGCTGCCATTCCACTTCATGTTCCTTTTCTTCATTGCTCCTAAATGTGCTGCTGTTTCTGAACTTGTTAGGCTATCCAATTACTTTATTCTTCTTTGGTGTGCATTCTACTCTCTCCATAATGCTCACCCTTTCTCTGAAACTCTGCTCATTCCCCTAAGACACAGCTCTTCTGTTACCTCCTGTGAGAAGACTTCTCTGCTTTCCTTTTCTTTTTTTTTTTTAAGGCGAGGCAACCCTTGATTGACCTCACAGATTGCAAGGACCTTGTCAGTTTATAATCCCTTATTTTTTATGTCTACAGAACATGGTCTTCCTAGGTGGTCTCCCATCCAAGTACTAACCAGGCCCAACCCTGCTTAGCTTCCGAGATCAGACAATTCTTATAAGACTATAAGTGCCCTTAGAAGAGGGACTGTCTTATTCACTACTGTATTCTCCCATTTAGGATAGTGCAGGGCACATCATAGGTGCTTTATAAAGCTGTGGTGCATACAGAATGAAGTGTGGTGGGCATTCTCTCCCCACTTTAATCTACCTTCCAATCCTCTAGCCTCAGTTGCTGCCATTCCACTTCATGTTCCTTTTCTTCATTGCTCCTAAATGTGCTGCTGTTTCTGAACTTGTTAGGCTATCCAATTACTTTATTCTTCTTTGGTGTGCATTCTACTCTCTCCATAATGCTCACCCTTTCTCTGAAACTCTGCTCATTCCCCTAAGACACAGCTCTTCTGTTACCTCCTGTGAGAAGACTTCTCTGCTTTCCTTTTCTTTTTTTTTTTTAAGGCGAGGCAACCCTTGATTGACCTCACAGATTGCAAGGACCTTGTCAGTTTATAATCCCTTATTTTTTATGTCTACAGCACATGGTCTTCCTAGGTGGTCTCCCATCCAAGTACTAACCAGGCCCAACCCTGCTTAGCTTCCGAGATCAGACGGGGTTGGGCTCGTTCAGGGTGGCATGGCCGTAGACTCCGTTTCTTCTCTTGGTCCCCCCACCACTTTTTTGAACCTCCATCTGGCACTTACCATGTTGTATGGTGAGTTCTCTGTTTATTTGTCCATCTCTTTCACTGAGCTGACCCACTGTAGAGGAGAGACCCTCCCTGATCACAGGCTAGGGGTATGGGACTAGGGAAGACTGGGAGTTGGGAGTGGGGTGAGCAGTATAGTAGAGTTTGATTTTGGAGCTAGGCAAACCTGGTTTAAATCAGGGAGACTCTGCCACTTACCAGCTGTGAGACTTTGGGCAAGTTGCTTAACCAGTAGGATTCTTGGTCTTGTCCCTTATAAAGTGAGGGTGACATCTTTTCTGCAGGAGTATTGAGCATTAGAGATAATGAGTTTACAGCATATAGCGTAGTGCCTGGCATATGAAAGATACTCAGTAAATATTTGGGAAACTAATGTATAAGAAAAGATTTCGTTTTACTCAAGCTAGAATAAGCCTTTTGCTTTCTGCCAGGTAGTCAGGAGCATTTTTGAGGTGGGAGTAAAATTGAAAGAGTCTCTTTTCTTGTGATGAAGCAATAAAAAAGGTGAAATTGGGGCCATTGTCAGTGACTAGCCTGTGCAAAATAAGATTGTTGATGCTTCTCTGCATTCTTGTGTTGTAATGACTTCTCTGACATATCATGACATGCACATAGGATTGGTAGTGATCTTGGTGGGTACAGGTGGGGGCGGGTAGATGGTGGATTTGTAATGTATTTAAGGCTGTGGATGACTAGATGGGGTGTTTGAGGATCCATGTCTTCTGGTGTTTTATGAACTGAAAGTGTTGGATGAAACTGGTGGAACACATCTAGGCATTGAGGAAGCCAGACACTTTGGCCCCAGTTTTCTTAGGGCTTTGATGATCTTCTTGTGCCACAGAACAGGGTTAACTCGGATACTCCCCAGAAATGGGCCTGGTAGCTGAGACTTACCGTCCTTTCTTTGCTTGTTTATTTTTAGTATAGTTAACGGGGGTAGTTCTTAGTTCACCAGTTCCCAACGGAAACCAAAGGGAGTTGTTTCCAGAAGTCTAGACCTCTTAATTGTATAATGCCAGGTGGTACTTCAGTGTGAATTTACAATCAAATGAGAAAGATATGTCTGAATTCTCAGGAGGGCAGCCTTCTTGTCTGGACCTTAAACCCCTGCCCCAACCAGGCACCCTCTCCTCTGTGTCTTCAAAGTACTCACCTCACATCAATGCAGGTGGCCATTAACCTTTGTATCTCCTGCAAGGGGCAAGGTCTTCTATCTCTGAAGCTTCTTAGGGCCAGGGTCTTTTACTGAAATCTGAGTATCTAGGCCCTACATAGTAGTTGCTGAGCTCTCCTGGTTACTGTGTGACCCCACCCAGTCCTTCTTCATGGAGACTAAAGCAGATAGGATCTATCTGGCAAAACCTTTTGAAAGCTTAAGAAGGAAGGTTCTGCATAGACAAAAAGTGATAGTATTAACAGTAGCATTACTAATTATTTTTCAGGGTTGAGTTAATGTTAAATGATTTTCCAGGTGCTTGGCTTCAGCTCTCTCCCTTTTCAGCTTTATGTTCACAACATGCCCCTAAGCCAGCAGGATAGGGTTAAAGTTAAAAGAGGAGGTGAAACACAGGTATATTTTCTTGCTGAATTAGCATTTCTAAAAAGTCTTTGGCTGCTGGCATCCTCTTTATTATTCATTAAGCTTCTTTTATTGCTTCTAACCTGCTTGCTTTCCTGGTTGTATCACTAGTCTTATCTAGGTGTGTTCCAAGCTCACAGCCTGGACTTACTACAACCTTTTTAATGCCTAAACTGTCAAAAAGGTGAAACCAATAGCTAGAGATGAGTGCGTGGAGTAGTTTTTCCCTGGGTGTTCCTCCTTCTTTGTGCACATTGTAGTGTGGCATGTCTTCACTGTATGGCAGGAGTGGTAAGCTGCATTGTATGTTAAGCAAATTTGAGAGGAGGTTGGGTGAGCCAGCTGGACTGGATTGGATTGTGTACTTTTAGGCTTCAGAGGGACTGGGTCTTCTGGACTGGCCGTGAGTAGAAGAGTGGGACCGCTTTGTTAGTTGCTATCTCGAAAGTGCCAACTGTTTGCTCTCAGTGACATTTGGAATCCATAAAGAACATGGCAGAATTGTTGTGGCTTTTCTGTGGCTCCCTAGAGAAGACAGTTTTCCATGTGTGTACTGGAATTAGAATCAGAGGGATCTGTCCCAGTTCTGTCTGTGGTCTTGGGCAAGTCACTTGTCTTCTCTGTCACTTCAAAATGGGAGAACTCCACTTGTTCTATGGGCCTCACTAGGCTACGAGGATCAAAGGACGTGTAATGGAAGGGAAAGTGCTTCCAGAATCGTAAAGCACAGTGCAAATGGAGGGTTTTTGTCTGTTTGTCTAGGGCTTGTATGTTTTTATTACAAACATATATCCTTGTGTAAAATACTAATACAGAAAAATAAAAAGACCGCTGCTTAGTCTAAGCCCTTTTTCCAAAGACAGTGAACTGTCTAACAGTTTTAACAACTGCTAACTATTTATTATGTATCCTAATCATTTTTGTGTCCTTCTAGACAGTCCTCATCATGTATTACCTGCACAATAAACAAAACTCAGTAATAACACAGACTGTGCTTCAGCTTGCCCTGTTCACTTAACAAGTTACTTAGGGTCGACTACTCCCTGTTGGAGCCTTTGAGGAGCCCAGTTGTAGCCTCCTTCCCAGCTTGGGGGGCTCTGCTGAGGCTGGCTTTTGGGGAGGGATGGAGAGGCTTTACTACAGGTTCCCACCACAGTGGCCTCGTTTATCTCTGAGGGATTGTTTATTATTCCAAGCTGAAATTGTCCAGCAGGAGTGCCCTTGAGTGGGAATCAGGATGGATATAAGTGCGATGTGGGCATCAGCTCTTCCATCTCACGTGTCTTTCTCCACTTCAGACCCAGCTGGTATTTTTTATTATTTAAAAAAAATTTTTATGGGTGGGGATTCTAAAGATAGCCTGTCCATGATGTTCATGCTTTCTTATCAGTCCAAGGAAGACGTCAGAGCCTACCTGAAGAGTTCTTTTTCTTTTGTAGATGGTTACCTCACCCTCTCAGGCCTTGACCTTTTGAGCTCCAGGGCTGTTGTCAGAGCAATATGGAAAACCCAGTGAGTAGGCAATTGGGAAGCCAATTAGAGGCTTTTCTGCCTGCATCAATCATTAACCTGGGCTTGGGACAAGGGCCAGGCCCATATTTTGTGGGGTCAGGGTAGTCACTCTTCTCCCCTTTTTACCCCGAGTCATTTAATCATCTGCAGGATTTTCCAGACAGAAGGGGGAATCCCTCTCTGTTTTTTCTCTCAGAACATGTTGCTCTTCTCCACTAAGCACAGCAGTGTTTGCTGATATATTTGATGTAGCTTTCCTATCCTGCTGTCCTAGGGGTCACTTCTCGTGGGGCTCCACTGCTGTGGTTGCATTCACCTTGAGCTCTGTAAGCCAGGATGTGTTACTTCTCTTAGGGTAGTTCTGGAGGCTTCAGGAAAGAATGTTTTCTGCTGTTCCCTGGGCTTGTTGTGATGGGAATGCCAGCCTTTCTGGGCATTGCTCATTCTGAGAGGGTGGACTAGTCTCTGTTGGAGTCTGGGGAGCCTGACTATAGCATAGCCTTTATCCTTGCTCTCTGGGTTCCTCTGAGGCCAGCTCCCTGGGAAGAGTCATCCCCTTGGTCCTTTCAGAAACTGAAAGATGCTAGTGTGCTACCCTTTCCCTTGACTGGCCCAACACTGAGCCGGGTCACACACTGCCCTATTGTACTGTGGTTTTGATTGCAGCTCTTGTTGCAGCCTCTGATCCCTGGGCCAGTTCTCAGTCCCTTTCCTCGGAGCCTGTGGGAGGTGGTGGGGTAGACTCTGCTGGCACAGGCATGGGATGGGTGGCAGCTGCAGTTGTGGGTGGCTTTGTTCTTAGAACCCAGCTTTCAGGACTCTGGTGTAGCCTGACAGCAGTGTTTAGGGGATAGGCAAGATGGGAGCTGCCCCCCTGGTGGCAGCAACCCTTCCACAACAGCTGACCTCTCTTTCTGTTGACCAACTAGAGAGCCTCGTTACCTGGGGTTAGTGAGCTGGACTCACTGGGTGGCAGGGGGAGTGCTCCACTTCTACCTGGCATGATCTCTGGATGGGAGAAAACCTCTGAGGATCTATCTAGTGGTAAGTCTGGGGGAGTTTTCCCTGTCAGGAGAATGCAGCGTGTACCTCGGGCACCTGCAGCTTGGCATTCCTTCTGTTCTCTCTTTGCAGCTCCGGAGTTGGGCTGCTCACAAACCAAGCTGTCTGTTTGTATGGAGTGCCTGGAGAGTGTCTGCCATGAGGGTGTCTGCCATGAGTCTGTCGCTAACCATGCTAACCAGGAAAGCTGACTGGTTGGGGAGAAGACACTAACCCTGTGAGTCTGACCTGGGCCAGCTAACCTGCCCTGAGAGTACCACCAGCAGTGCTTCTGTCCTCTCTTCCTGTCTCCATCCTGGCTGCCTCCTCCTCCTCGCTTGTTGCTTCATGCCATCTCCTCTGCTCTGTAGTCCTTACTACTGTGTTCCCTCCATCTTCCCAGTCTCCTTGCTGTGAATGGGGATGTGCCCCCTTCATAACCAGGAGAGGAGAGTTTCCTGTGCATGGCCACCTGCTCACCTGCCAGTCTGCTGCTGCGCTTGGCCTCCCCTCAGTCAGTACCACATCTCCCAGTTCTTTCTTAAAATAGATTTGGGCAGAGTTTCTGTTTAATCTGCTTTTAGCATCACAGAGTTTGAGAATATCCCTCAGCATGCTGTTTCTTTTTCATTCCTCAGAGACAGATGGGAATTTTCTTCTAGACTGAATAGTTTCCTCCTTTTTTCAAGAGAGGAAAATTGAATGGTGTCCCCATCATTGTCACCCCAGTATGATAATTTAGGATCAGCTAGCTGCAAGGTTCTCCTTGGGGTGAAGGAGGTTGAGGAAAACCTTGGCCTGGTCATGGGAAATTCCCTGGGCAGAAGAGCGAAGTTACTTAAACTGAAAACTGGAGCCCACCTAAGATGTAGCTCCCATTGGTGACTATTACTCAGGGAGGTGGAGTGAGTGGAGTTTGGCCCCCTACCGCCTTCCACGTCTGGAACTTCAGGTGAACTTTAGCCGAGAAGGGCTTGGTAGGGTGCCTTAGCTCAAGGGGGCAGGACCTGGCTTTGGACTCCATAGTGAGTCTAGGAGAGGCCCTGACCTCAGATTGGGAAACTGGTGAACAGCCTGCCATGGAGATGCTCCCACCAAACTCCCTTTTCCCTCCAGGCTTAGAAAGGAGAAGGGGGCTCTGGCGATAACAGGAAGGCTGATTGCTTGGAGCTCCCTGGTCTTCTTCACAGGTAACTCTAGACAGACGTTCTGTGTCTCTAGCCTCCGGAGGCAGTGCAGTATGGGGTAAGCTGGATAGGGAAACTTGAAACCTACAGGCCTTCAAAGTAGGTTCTGTATCCTTGGGCTAGGAGGGAAAAGGCAGGGGGATGCTTACAAGCATGGGGTGGGAGCGTGTAAATGTGTGAGCCAGTAGGTGCTGCTCAGATGTTTAGGGACCCTGAATAGGGAGTTAGCAAGCTGGAGGGTTTGTGGCTTAACTCTAATCAGGAAAGCTAAAGGAGTCTCGAGTGGAGGCTAGTTCAGGACCACCCCTCACTTTGCCCTTCCTTAGAAGAGGGCATGGGGACTAATGTCAAGTGCTGGTTACGATTATGAGGATATTTTCGCCCTTAATTTATGTTGGGGGAGGTTTGGTTTTCTTGGATCATCATCAGTAGGCTTCAGCCCCTTTGTTCTTGTCAGATATTTGCTTGGATGAGGTTAGGTGATAGACTTGAGGTATTTGCTCAGGTGGGGAACCAGATAAGTGCTCAAGGTCACCAGCACTAGTTCTGAGTCCTCAGGATTACTTTGTGGAAGAATAATATCCACCTCTTTTGGCTTTTAAAACCTGTTAGTCTGTTTCACTTAGAGTAGGCAAAAGGCCAGGTCAGGGCCACAGGAAGCTTGTCCCAAGAGGGTGAGGTTGTACTTGCCCAGAGGGGTGGCAGGCATGCTGTCGGAGGGGCAACAGGACTGGTCTGGGCACAGACTGGCATCTTCCAGCCTAGTCATCAGCCCAGAGCAGGCCCCACCCCGTGAGCTGCTGGCTGCTTGCCTGCCACGCGCCCAGGATTGCTAAGGGCTTTGCTCACGTATCTCAGGAACAGCTGCATGCTGGAAACAGGGCTGGTGGCAAGTAGGAGGGGCGCATGGGGGTCGGTGTGGGGAAGGCCGAACCCCACCAGCTCTGGAAGGATTGGCTCACTGTGCTGGAGGACTGTTCTGCTGTTCACTGAGAGGGGCTATATTAATGGTGGTGGGGGCCTTCCTGGGCAATCCCCAGGGCCCCTGCCTGGTTACCTAGTTAGAGGGCTGGCTCTTGCAGGGTTGTGGTTTCTGTTTCTTGGACCTCGGAGGCAGAGCCTGGATTTCAGAGGCTTGAGAAGCAGCTGGACTTGTATGGCAGGAATGTAACTTGCCTCCAAAGGCGCAGCTTCCTCCAGGCTTACAGAGTTCAGACACTGTACATGCAGGGCTCATAGCTAAGGACAGTTCCTGCAGGGGAGACACTAGTCTCCATGTGATTAGACATCCATGTTTTAGCAGTTGATGAGGGGATTTAGGAATGGCCTGTATTTATTTTTATTATTTATATCCTGCTGGGTTCTAAAGGAATTAAGGCAGCCTACAACACAGCTGGAGTATTCTGAAGAAGGACTGGTTTTCCTTTCCTTTTAAAAGCAGTAATGATTGCTGCTTGATTCTTTTGACTTTTTTGGGGGGTGAATTACGAAGAGCTTTAATGATTTTGGTGGTGGTGTGTGGTCCCTTCATGATTGAGAAGATTGGGTTTATTGTCCCCTCAGGGTCCCCCACTTGGTTGATTCAGTGACAGCTGATTCAGTGAGCAGAAAGACATACTAGGTTCGGAAATGGTCTGAGCCCAGATGAACTGTTGGGGCCATAATTTCTTGAAGAGAACATGGGTGACATGTGAAGCGAAAGAGGCAGTTGGGTTTTTCTAGGGCAAGGCAACTGAACTGGGTGGTGGAACAGTGGAGTGAGGTCATAGTGCAGAACTTGGGAGCTGGAAGAGACGTCCAGTCTGGGAAGGCAGAAGTTTGAAAATCCAAAGAGCCACACCCATTTTGGATTCAGTCCAGTCTCCCTCTGCTGGGCCTGTGTTGAAGTGGCCTCTGAGCCTTCAGAGGATTCTTGGACCTATCCCTCTCCTGCATCTTTGACTTTGTCTTGTGCCTTGGGCAGACCTGCAGAAAAGATGGCATAAGGAAGTGAGAGGGCAACCTTAGCTCTTGGGCTTGAACCTTTTTGCTGTTGCCGCCTGTGGGTGTTTTCTGGGAGCAAGAGTAGGGAGAGAAGTTTAGAGAGAGTCAGGATTTTGAGGAGGTTTCTCCTTATCTCACTCTATCTCCAGCAGCGGTGATCCCTGCCACAATGGAAGTCCTGGTCACGTATATATACTCCATATTCACAAAAGGGAGCAGACATGAGTCCTATCTTCTGGTTAAAGAGTGATACTTGGCAAATTTTGAGTCTTTTGATTAAAGGATACTGTTCAGCCTACTTCTGGCACACATTTCTCCATATATCTGTTTCTGTCTATACTCCGTTCAGCTGTTCAGTGGGTTCACAGTGCAGGTTCACTGTGTGTGTGAGTCCCATTTATAATGAAAGCAGACTTTGTTCTCTGGAGGCAGTGAATCATGCCCAGTGGGCTGTAATCAGGGAGAAGGTATTTAATACAGGGCAGGCGGCAACAGGCGGCCTGCAATGACTGGCAAATTACAACATGGCAATTTGGAAGCTATCACCTCCCTCTCCACCTCAGCAGATACTGGGTTGAGTCTCTCTTCCAAAATGATTTTGAGTAAATGAAGAATGAATACTGCGCAGAAGAGGAAGGAGGAGGCGGAGTTGGTGGTGGGGCAGTGACGGGTGAGGAGAGCTGCTTTTTCTTCCCATCCACCTCCCTTGAGATGGAGAGGACTTACTGCTGCTCTGGGTGTCTCTCTCAACAGTGCCTGCAGGGCCAGCCTGAGAAGCCTCAGACCAGACTGGGTCAGCCAGAGGTTTTATCCTAGTCCTCAGCCTTTCCCCATAGCACAGCTGTTCTTGTAGTACAAACCCAGCATGTGATCTGATAGCTCCACATCCTTGATCAGCAGCCCCCAATACCTTGAAGCTCAGATAGTTTGGGAGTGTGATTCTTCCCTGTTAATTTCTAGACCTTCCAGAAGATCATCTTCTTGGAAGTGCCCTGGAACTGGCTTGGCATCAAGAGGCCCCAGAGACTGTTTGCTTTCTCATCAAGGCCCATAGCCCATTTCGAGCTGTCCAGCTGTTTTCCCTGGATGCTTCCTTTTCTCGACACAGGATTAGGTATCCTCCTGGGGCTGAAACACTCCAAGTCCACTTGGGCACCTCTGGGTGAAGGAGATGTGGCTAGTAGAGGCTGCACCTGGTAGCTGGGCTTCTTGGAGGGACTGCTCTGCTGCCTGTCATCTTTTCCCAGCTTGTGGGCCTGGTGTCCAGCTGCTGCTTGTTTTGTTCTCCACTGTACCTGGCATTATTTTCACCCTTGGGTCTGTCTTTCCCTGTAGCGCTTCCCGTCAGGAATAGCAGCCCGTCAGGCCCATTGTGTTCCTGTTCAGTGCTGGAATTGTGGGCCCCTGTGGGCCTTATCTGTGGCACTTAGCAGATCTCAGAAGCTTGAGTGAGGGCCCTGACATGCACTGGTATTTACGGACACGGGCAGGGAGTGGCACAGACTCTCCCTTGTGGACTTGCCTTGGGGACACTGCAGACTCCCTGGAAGACTGTTTCCCTAGTAGGCATTGCCTTCTGCTAACCCAGTTGAGAATGGTTCCCCGCCCTGTGACTGACATGTGTGAAAAGACTAGGTTCTGGCTGGGAGAGAGAACCTACCCATCCCCCTACCATTCATCCCAGAGAGTCTGTGTCTGCATTTCTCCCCATTTCACTGCCAGCCACATCCACACTGTCTGCCCCTTCAACAAGCCAGACTATGTGGCTGTAGAAGTCCTGGGAATATGTACTATGGAGCCGGTGAGTTGGGAATTGAGGTCAGGATGAGACAGGATGAGCTGAAGAATGTGTGGCAACTAGATATATGGCTGTGGGCATGGAGTGAGGCTGCTCTCCTTACGGGTAGAATTACCAGATACCTGGGTGTGTCAGTGTCTTCCCTGTTCACCCACCACCCATACACGTGTCCTGGTGCCTAGAGGACAGTGCGGGCATCA